TCTACAGGCCATATTATGTCCTCTTTGGAGAAGTGTCTATTTAGGTCTTCTGCCCATATTTTAATTGGGTTTTCAGGAGGGGGTGTTAAGTTCTATATGAATCTTGGTTATTGATCCCTTATCTGATGTATCACTGGCAGATATCTTATTTTATTCACTAGGTTGTCTTTTCATTTCATTGATGGTTTCCTTTGCTGTGCAAAAATTTTTAGTTAGATGCAGTCCCATTAGTCCATTTTTTGTTTGTTTCCCTCACTCTAAGAGATATTTCAGAAAAAAGTATTGCTAAGAGAAATGTCAGAGTTTTTTTTTTTTTATAAAATATATTTCTTGGTTGATTTCAGATAGGAAGGAAGGAGAGAGAGATAGAAACATCAATGATGAGAAAGAATCATTGATCAGCTGCCTCCTGCACACCCCCTACTGGGGACTGAGCCCACAACCCAGGCATGTGCCCTTGGCCGGAATCGAACCTGGGACCCTTCAGTACTCAGGCTGACGCTCTATCCACTGAGCCAAGCTGGCTGGGTGAAATGTCAGAGTTTATTGCCTATGTTTTCTTCTAAGGGTTTTATGGTTTTGGGTCTTTTAAGTCTTTAATTCATATTGAGTTTGTTCTTTTTTTTTTTTTTTTTTTTGTTTTTTTTTTTGTTTTTTTTTGTTTTTTTTTTTTAATATATTTTATTGATTCTTTACAGAGAGGAAGGGAGAGAGATAGAGAGCTAGAAACATCGATGAGAGAGAAACATCGACCAGCCGCCTCCTGCACACCTCCCACTGGGGATGTGCCCGCAACCCAGGCACATGCCCCTGACCGGAATCGAACCTGGGACCCTTCAGTCCGCAAGCCGACGCTCTATCCACTGAGCCAAACCGGTCTCGGCGAGTTTGTTCTTGTATATCGTGTAAGAAGGTGGTCTAATTTCATTTTTTGCATGTATCTGTTCGATTTTCCTAACACTGTTTACTGAATAGATTGTCTTTAACTCCATTATATATTCTTGCCTTTTTTTTTTTTTGTAAGATTTTAATTGTCAAGGTAGGTGTGGATTTCTTTCTGGCTCTCTCTTCTGTTCCATTGATGTGTCTGTTTTTATGCCCGTACCACACTATTCTGAATACTAGAGCTTATAGTATAGTTTGATATCAGGTTGTGTGATCCTTCCAACTTTGCTCTTCTTTCCTGAGATTGCTATGGCTCTTTAGGGTCTTTGTGGTTCCATATAAATTTTTGGATTTTTTGTTCTACTGTGAAAAATGCTATTGGTATTTTTACAGATTGCATTGAATCTGCACATTGCTTTGGGTAGTATAGATATTTTACTGATGTTAAGTCTTCCTATCCATAAACACAGCATATGCTTCCATTTACTTGTATCTTCTTCAATTTATTTTTTAGTGTTTTTACAGTTTTCTGAGTGCATGTCTTTTGCCTCCTTGGTTACATTTATTCCTAGGTTGTTGTGGGTGTTTTTTGAGGCAATTGAAAATGGGATGTTTTCTTAGTATCTCTTTCTGATATTTCATCATTGGTGTATAAAATACAACCAGTTTCTGAATATTTATTTTGTATCCCACTAATTAATAAATTCATTTATCAGTTCTATTGGATTTTTGGTGGAATCTTTAGGGTTCTCTATACAAAGTACCATGTCATCTGCAAATAATGACAGTTTTGCTTCTTCCTTTCCAATTTGGATGCTTTTTATTTGTGTTTCTTATCTGATTGCTATGGCTAGCACTTCTAAGACTCAGTTTAATATGAGTGGTGAAAGTGGACATTCGTGTCTTGTTTCCAATCTTAAGGAAACCACTTTAAGCTTTTCCCTGTTGAGTATGATGTAGTTGTAGGTTTGTCATCTATGGACTTTGTTATGTTAAGGTATGTTTCTTCTATTCCCACTTTGCTGAGAGTTTTTATTATAACTAGAGGCCTGGTGCATGAAATTGTGCAATCCTTGGGGGGATCGGGCCTAAGCTGGCAATTGGACATTCCTCTCGCAGTCCGGGACCCCTCGCTCCTTACTGCCCGCCTGCTCGCTGCTCCTTACCACTCAGCTCACTGCTCCTTAGTGCTGCCGTGGAGGCAGGAGAGGCTCCTGCCACCGCCACTGCACTCCCCAGCCGTGAGCCTGGCTTCTGGCTGAGTGGCGCTTTCCTTGTGGGAGCACACTGACCACCAGGGGGCAGCTCCTGCACTGAGTATCTGCCCCCTGGTGGTCAGTGCACATCACAATGACCAGTCATTCTGGTCGTTCTGCCATAAGGGTCACGTAGGCTTTTATTATACAGACTAGAGGCCCAGTGCATGAAATTCGTGCATGGGTAGGGTCCCTAGCAGCTGCCAGCTGCTGGCTGGGCCTTCCTTTATCCGCGCCGCCCCCTGGTGGTCAGCACACATCATAGCGAGTGATCGAACTCCCGGTCTCCCAAACTCACTTTGCATATTAGGCTTTTATATGGGTGCTGGATTTTCTGCATCTATTGATACGATTGTATGCTTTTTATTCTTTCTTTTGTTCATGTGGTATATCAAATTAATTAATTTGCAGATATTGTACCAACCTTTCACCCAGGAATAAATCCACTTGATGATGGTATGTGATCTCTTTAATGTATTGCTGAGTTCAGCTTGCTAATATTTTGTTGAGAATTTTTGCAGCTGTGTTCATCAGGGTATTGGCCTATAATTTTCTACGTTTGTAATGTCTTTGTCATGTTTTTACTCAGAATAATGCTGGCCTCGTAATGAGCCTAAAACCAGCCTGGAGGCTTCGCTCCTCTTGAGTTTCTTTGAGTAGTTCCAGAAGGAGAGGTGTTATTCCCATAAGACTTTTCAGATGTGTCTTCTTCACAAAGAAGAACTTGGATTCCCATAAACTTTTATCATCGCCTTATCACCCAAACCCTTCATTGTCTGTCTCAGTTATAGTTTTGAACCCCCTCCAAAATTTGTTTTTTGAGTCACGGAAACCATGACTTAATTAGACCTTTCATTTCCAGAGAATTCTCCTAGTGCTTAAAGAAAAGTACATTTCAGTAAGGTATATTTCACCAGGAGAAGGGCATAGAAAAAAATTGGATCTTTTAAATATAAATAGCACATTGTACCACAGATGAGCTTTCCTTTTCTCAATTGTTTTTGAAACAATAGGTGTTTTTGATTAATTTAATTCCTAGTAGAGTCTAACTTCTAAGAGACTGATTTGCATTCTTCTGTGGGTACGTGGCTGCTGGATCCAAAAAAGGCAAGAGGTATGTTCTCGGATGGCCTAGTAAACAGTAAAGGAAACGGCTGGCAACAGGCCAGCACGAAGCACCTTACCCAGGTGTGGGCATGGGGCGGGGGGAGGAGGGGAACTTGTTTTCCAGTCTTTTCCTCAGCAGCTTCTGTCCTGAGAAATTCTGAGGGGCCCAGAGCACTGGCCCTGCTTCTTCATCACTTATTTACTGAAAGGAGGCGTGTCTTCTAGGAGCCGTTCTCCTTAGCTGTGCCAGTTTCTCCACCCGTTCACTTGGTATCTGTGCTCAGGTTTTCATGCAGGAAAGGCAGGCATTTCGCTCGCCTTTGGCCTGTGGAGCGAGCAGGAGCCTGGCCGGCACTGGCGGCCCCTTCGCCAGGCTGCCTTCAGCAAGTCGCTGTCCTTCCTCCCCAGCTTCCCTGTGTGGAGGGAAGAAGTCAGGTCTCAGGTGATCTCTGAAGTCCCTGTCAGTCGGATCTCCATGATTCTCACAGCACCAGCTCTTCTCATTGCTCCATAGAGGGGCCACGAAAGGGAAAGAGGACTTGGGCTCAGCAGCCAATTGGGAAAAGGGGACATTCCGTCCCCTCGCTCCTCTCTCCCAAGGACCCGGGATCCGTGTCGGGTAAAGGATGGGAGTGACTGTTCATTGGCATCTCCCATGTGTCAGGCACCGGTCGAGCACTTGACTGAAGAGTCGATGCACTGGTGTCCTTCGCTACCACAGCCCCGTGCGAACCCCCATCCCTCCCAGAGGGGTCCGTCCGCGTTCTTCAGGTCTCACTTAAGGTGTCACCTCTTCTCTGAAGCCTTTCCTGACCCCCTGACCGTTCCGCCTGGGTTGGTCTCCCTGTCCTATGTTATGTTCCCCTACTTTCCTTCACTGCCCCGACCACAGTAGTAATTAATAATTATCTGTACAGATGAATGTTTTCATGCCTGCTCAGCTGAGATCTCCATGAGGGCAGGAGCCACATAAGTGTTGTGTTCGCTGTATTCCTAGAGCCTAGAACAGCGTTGATGAGATAACAGCAATTCACTAAGGATTTCTTGAATGGGCGTCGTAAGCATGCGTGCACGAATGGGTGGGCGAATAGCAGAGCTGGGCACAAACCCAGAACTCTCGGCTCCTGGAGACCAGACGGAAACTTCAGCAGCGTCTACTGTGCTGTGTGCTGGCGCGCAAGTGCCTCGCTCCCCAGCCATCCTCCTCTCTCCAGCAGTGGGGGGTGAGCAGCGCTGCTCTGGACACTGGAGCCCAAAGATGTCTGTGAACTGGTTGGAGATCATGGGTCCACCTGAGGCTGGTGGTGGTGGCTGGAGGTGGGCGGGAGGAGGCATTGAATTAAACCAAATAACTGTCCTGGTGGGCATTTGGCCCACTTTCTCATACGCTCTGCCAAGGGCTGCGAATAAACAACATTCTGCAAGGGATCTAGGGCAGTGAGAGTGAGTGCATGAGAATGAGGGAGGAAAACCCACGACATGACAACCTTCAGGGGAGCAGAACTAAAACTCCAGTGTGGAGCCTGCTGACCGCCCACCAGCTCAGGCTGCCTGCAGGCCCGCTGGCCACGCGGAGGTCAGCGCCCATGCGGTGTCCCAGCGCCTGGCTGTGGCCCTTGGGGAGCCCGCTGCCGGTGTCTGCCCACCTCCGAGAGGCTTTAGTCCCTTACTTCACATCACCTCCTGCACCGCAATGAGCAGCTGGCAGGAGGCTGAAAACACTAACAACAGAAATTTGATTTCTTCTTCTAGACAAAAAGCTTTGGCGTCCACCGGAGGAAGAAGTGTTCAGGCCGCGTGTGACTGGTTGGTATAAAATAACTAAATGAGAAAATGACACTTGATCAGCTCTAAATATATGCGGATGAGCAAGGTTGTGAACCTGGGGGGTGGGGCGAGGGAGACCCGGTGACTGGACCGTCCATCCCGCCATTGCCTCCTCCCGCTGCCCAGGGCGTGCTTCTCCTTAGCGGTGTTTCTAAGAGAGCCTGTCCCATAGCTGCCGCCCTCCAGCCACCACAGATGTAAGAAGCTGTGTGCAGGCTGCGCAAGTCAATTGAGGGAAAAACCTACCCACCTTTCAGGAAGTCACTGCCCAGGGCAGAGCCCAGGGCAGCTCCGAGGGTCCCTTGTCTTTGGGAGGCTCCGGTTTCTTCAGATGGAGCTGAAGGAACCCTGTTGAACGGCGTGGGGTTGGGAAAGGGTTGGGGTTCGCCTGCGAATGCCGCCTGGAGAGGGCTTCAGGTTTCCGAGGGGCTGTGGGCGAAGAGGCACCCACGGGCGAGGCTGTGAAGTGTGAGCTGCGAGGGGTGGATCCTTAGCGCAGAGGGAAAGCCCTTCCCACCAGCGGAGTGTCTGGTCCCCCACCCCCCGCCCCCCGCCATTCTCCAGCAAGGATGCCCGCTCTCTCCGCAGGCTCTTCTCCCACGTGGGCGACCCCTTCCTGGACGACCCGCTGCCCCGGGAGTACGTGCTGTACCTGCGCCCCACGGGCCCCTTGGCCCAGAAGCTCTCCGACTTCTGGCAGCAGTCGAAGCAGATCTGCGGGAAGAACAAGGCGCACAACATCTTCCCCCACATCACCCTCTGCCAGTTCTTCATGGTGAGCGGCAGCCCCAGCCCTGCCGGGACCTGGTGGGACCTGGAGTCACAGGCGTAAGAGCTGTGTGATCCAGTGCCAGGTCATTGGGCATGTGCAGTTCCCCTCCTCACAGACGGGGTGTGTGTGTGTGTGCATGTGTGTGCACGTGCGCGTGTGTGTGCGTGCATGTGTGTGTGCGCGTGTGTGCGTGTGTGTGTGTGCGTGTGCGTGTGTGTGTGGTGGTGTCACAGTCTCAGCTGGGCGGAGGGTACCTGAGGACCGCGGAGCTGAGCTGCCCTGGCCGCCGAGTGCAGCCCCCGCTTCCCTTCCAGTGCGAGGACAGCAAGGCAGACGCCCTGGGGGAGGCCCTGCAGGCCACCGTCAGCCGCTGGAGGGGCAAGTTCTCGGTGCCGCTGCCCCTGGAGCTCTACACCTCCTCCAACTTCATCGGGCTCTTCGTGGAGGAGGCCAGCGCCGACGTCCTCAAGAAGTTCGCCGCCGACTTTGCCGCGGAGGCTGCATCCAAAACCGGTGAGCCCTGCTGGCCAGGCGGGCGCCCTCAGAGTGGGGGAGACGGGGATGCTGTGACAAGTGGGATGGGGTGGGGAGGTGGCTGCGGGAAGGGGCCGAACAGGACAGGAGCACACCCCCTCCCGGGAGCACCCACACCACGTGCTGTTCTGCTAACTTCCCCGAGAGAATGCCCAGTGCTACTCCCCGACACCAAGCGGAAGGAACAGACGCCTGCTCTCCAAGGAGCCACCTCAGCGTCAGGAACCTTCCTCCCTCCCCCCACCCCCTCCCACACAGGCACCACCTGGGCGGTCAGTCCAAGCCCAGGGAGCACAGCACAGAGGAGGGTGGAGCCTCTCAGAGTCAAGAACAGTCATCCCCACTGAGCCCCCCCTCGACCTAGGAATCCATTCGGCGGCCCCTAGGCCTCAAAAGCCGTCCCACAGCCCCCCTTCCACATCTCTCCTGCTCTCTCGTGGCAGCTCTTAGCTTAAAGCTGCTGCAATTTCCCACCAAAGAAGTTAGCTGAAAGGGATGCTGAGGACGCATGGTGACAGGCGACAGGCATGGGGGGGGGGGGTCCTCCTCTCTGACCACAGGTGCGGACGAGCTCCCCGAGCTGCAGGACAGACAGACAGTGAGGTGAGGCAGTGTCTGGGCTCCCAGACAGCGGAGTCCAGGGGTCCTCAAACTACGGCCCGTGGGCCACATGCAAATACAAATATTGTATTTGTTCCCGTTTTGTTTTTTTTACTTCAAAATAAGATATGTGCAGTGTGCATAGGAATTTGTTCATATATTTTTTTTAAACTATAGTCCGGCCCTCCAACGGTCTGAGGGACACTGAACTGGCCCCCTGTTTAAAAAGTTTGAGGACCCCTTGCCGAAACCGGTTTGGCTCAGTGGATAGAGCGTCGGCCTGCGGACTGAGGGGTCCCGGGTTCGATTCCGGTCAAGGGCATGTACCTGGGTTGTGGGCACATCCCCAGTGGGGGATGTGCAGGAGGCAGCTGATCGATGTTTCTCTTTCATCGATGTTTCTAACTCTCTATCTCTCTCCCTTCCTCTCTGTAAAACATCAATAAAATATATTTAAAAAAAAAATAAGTTTGAGGACCCCTGGTGGAGTCAGTCGGCAGGGCTCAGTGGGAAGCTGCAGTGTGTTCCCCGCCACGAATGCGACAGTCAGACGTGGTTCCTCCTGGCGGAGCTCGGAGCCTGGCTGAGCACAGGGGCTGGCAGAGCCCAGAAGAGAGGCCATCCCTGGAGGGGGGCTCCCCCGCGCAGCAGGAAGGAGCTCACAGGGCGATGATCCCTGCAGGGCGGGCGCCCCAGCCCCAGCAGAGAGGGCCACGGAGGCCATCCGCCCACGGAGGCCACCCGCCTATGGAGGCCACCGGCCCGCGGAGGGCTGAGCGCACAGCTGGCCGGAGGGATGGGTGCAGGGCCAGAGGGGCCCAAGCTGCCTGCACCACCTCGTGTGGACGGCAGGGCCGGGCCACCTGGGGTGGAGGCTGTGTCTTCGCAGCCCAGCTGGGACTGTGCTGGCACCTCTTCACTGGCAAGGCCGGAGCAGGGCTGGGCTCCGGAGTGTGCAGAGGGCCCATCCCCCGAGCCGGGAGGACTCCCTGGGGTCCAGCCTGGAAGATCCCTCTCCCAGGTGGGGCCTGCAGCCGCCCCCCCAAGCCCCCTGCTTCTGGATGAGTGTCTGCTTCCTGACTTGGGGCGCCTGTCCTGTCACAGGGCCTGAACATTCCAGAGAAATGGCCAGTAGAGAGGACAGTGGCGTCCTATGTGCACCCTCCTTTCTCAGGGAAATGGCTCCTGTTCACCCCACAGCACCATGGAAACCCCCACAGAAACCAAACTCATGTTGTGGCCACAAAACCCAGGTGCCTCACACAGGAGCAAAGCGGTCTCGCCAGGGCCTGGCCTGCTTTCCTGGCGGGAGGGGGAGACACCAGGAAAGCAGTTTCTGGGCCCTCGCGCCGCCCCCTGCTGGTGGTTTGCAGAACTGCGTACCCTGCTGTGTAGCCGGCCTCAGGGCTTCGCCTTGGTGTTCTAGAGTTTGGGGGCCCCCGGATTCCTTCAGCAGGTAGATTTAGGGTTGCCCCACAGGGAGATCCATCCATGTGTCTTTGTTCATTTAACAAGGACTGACACCTGGCATGGGCTGAGCACCGGGACCCAGTGTGAACAAGACAGCCCTGGCCTCCCGGGCTCACAACGAAGAGAAGCAGTGTAGGATCGCAGAGAAAGCGCTCAAAACCCAAGGACCCAGCTCCCGCCGCCATCTCTGTGTGGTCTGAGCGAGCCTCTTAGTTTCTCACCTCCCTAAGCAGCAGTCGCCAGCCTTTCGGACCTCACGGGCCACCATCCCAACCGCTGCCCTAAACCCCTCTGGTTGCGGCTTCTTCAGAGTCTGGCGTGGACAGGAGCTGCGCTCCCCATTGAGAGACACGAACGAGGGAGGAAGAAGAGGCGGCGGCGGGCTTCGCTTGCCTCTGGGGGGTCTTAGAGGAGCAGTCTGTTTGCGTTAAGCCGGCCGGGGTTCCAACCAGGGCACGTTTGCCCCAGGGGACGGCTGGCAACGCCTGAGTGTTTCCGGGGTCACACCCAGTGGTCACACTCTGGGTGCTGCTGTGGCCTCCAGGAGGCGGGGCCTCTCTGCCCAGGGCAGCGCCCAAACAGAGTTATTTCACCCAAATGCTGTTGAGAATCCCTGTTTTAAACTTTGAAAATATTACTTTTTCTTCATTTCTCCATCAGAGCCACTCAGAAGCTAAGAGACTTGATTTCACCAAAACAAAGGCAACATAGCTTTGAGAGTCGCATGATGACATCTGCTCTTTATTTCTGCGTGAATTAGTTCCTCCCCTTAGGGCCGTTTCCTCATCTGAGCGGTGGGGCTGCTCCTGCCGGGCTGTCGTGAGGGGAGCAACCAGGAGGATTGCTCTTCCCTCTCAGGCTGCGGGTCCGGGTCTGTGCCCCACGCGGCTGTCTGACAGCAGGCTCCCTCGCTGGGCGCTGGGCGTGGGAAGCAGGATGCTGGGCTCTCCCTCGGCCCCACCGCTGCTAGCAGTGTGAGCCTAACAGCATCTGCTCCCCTTTTCCAGAAGTGCACGTGGAGCCTCATAAGAAGCAGCTGCACGTGACCCTGGCTTACCACTTCCAGGCCAGCCACCTGCCCACCCTGGAGAAGCTGGCCCAGAGCATCGATGTCAAGCTGGGGTGCGACTGGCTGGCAGCCATATTCTCTCGGGACATCCGCTTCGCTAACCATGAGGTAATGCTTCCCTTTGGCTCCTGACCTGAGCGGCGAGGAAGGGCACAGGCAAAGCAGGAGCCTTGCTGCTCACTGGGGCAGAGGGAAGGCAAAGCCAGGAGCCTTGCTGCTCACTGGGGCAGGGGGCAGGGGTAGGGGGCAGGGGGCAGGGGGGCGTCGACCACCCAGGTGCCACCATTTGGGGAATCTGCACTGCGCTCAGACCCAGCCCTCTCTGAAGAGTAACACTGCCCTTATCCCTGAAGGAGAAGCTGAGTCACAGAGGTTAGGTCCGAAGCTGAATAATTTAGGGCCAGAGCTGAAACCAGAATTCAGGGATTTCGACAATGGAGACGGGCAATCCATCCAAAAACAGACCACATGGTCTGATGAAACAGTAACCATCCAGTTTAACTCCATTTATTAACAGCACTTACATGCGTTTCCTAGTTTTTTTTTTTAACAGCAGCAGAACTGACTTCTTAAAGTGTATATAGTCTTTTAACATTTCTTTTAGATTTTGTAAAATATGAAAAATTGTTAGAACCTCAGGGTCTAGACCAGACAACCTCATCATGGATTTGGAGTGTTGGGAATAGCGACCCAGACACTGCCGGGGCCGGGGCTGGGCCAGGGCGCAGGGCGGCAGTGCCAGGACGCAGCTCCCCACGCCAGTGGCTGCCCGGAGCCTTTCCAGCCGGCTCTGTGAAGACGCTGCAAGGAGCCTGGGCTCGACCGGACTTGCAACTCTGGCGTCTCCTGAGCAGTGGCCTCCCCTGCACAGGGCAGTGCTGGGTGGCGGGCGGCCGCCTGCTTTCCGAGAAGCCGCCTCGGAGAGCGGGGAGGCGACGGCATCTTCCAAGGGCACCTCCAGTCAGCACTGTCCTCGGGCGCCTGCCTGACCCACATTGGGCTCGGTTGGCACTTAGGGAAGAGACGCTCAAATGAATTATTTTCTAAAAATAACGTGGCCTCTTTGTCTCTTATTTGTTAAAGCTCATTTGTCCTGTCCCTGCCGAGGGGCTCCCCTCTGAGGCCGTGGCACCCGCTGAGCCCCCTGCACGTGTTCACGCAGGACCCGGCCGCCCGGCGGGCCGGGCGGGGCCTCACTGCCCTCTCTTCTCCAGACCTTGCAGGTGATCTACCCCTACACCCCCCAGAATGACGACGAGCTGGAGCTGGTCCCGGGGGACTTCATCTTCATGTCTCCCGTGGAGCAGGCCAGCACCAGCGAGGGCTGGGTCTACGGCACCTCCCTGACCACCGGCGGCTCCGGGCTCCTGCCCGAGAACTACATCACCAAGGCCGACGAGTGCAGCACCTGGGTGTTCCACAGGTGAGCCGCCGAGGCCTGTGCCCGCAGACTTCCGGGAGGGGCGCCTGGGCGGGACCTCGACACGCAGGGCAGCAGCCACTGTAGACGGAGGCCCGGGAAGAAAGCGGGCCGGCTCCAGGCTCCCAGGGAAGAGCTGCCGTGGGGATGGGAGAGCTGAGAACTGGGGTGGCTGGTGGGTCCTCCTGGGCTTAGCCTCAGGCCTGGCGCTTGGGAAGATGCGCTGGGTGTGAGCTCAGCTCCCCTCCCCGCTCTCAGCAGAAGGCACTGCCTGCGGTCTTGCTGGAACTGACACCCCCACTGCTGGCGGGAGCCCAGGCCTCATCCCAGAGGGGAAAGGGGCAGGCGTGCTCCTGGAACTGCCTGCAGGAGGGGCTCTCAGGCCTCGCAGCAGCTGAGGAAGCAGTGAAGGGGCAGGGCAAGTGGGGCCGAGGTTCCACCCACGCATGTTGGGCCCTACAGGCTTGAGGAATCGGAGAGTGAAACTGGATTTTCTTTAGCTCGGAGATGTTGGGAGGTCTCAGTTTAAAACAAAAGAGAATAACCGTCCATTAGACTGTGTGAACCGCCCAAGATTTCCTTGGTCTACAGTTGCTTAAATTTTACCAAAATACGTCTCCTTTGGCCACACATCACACTTACTGAGGCAGCTTTGTTACACGGGACCCACCTCACACTGTGAGTCCCGGTCTGTGCCGAGTGTTAAACCTCCCCTGGTGGCCAGGACGTGCACAAGGGCTGAAACACTGCTCCTCTGGTGTGAGCGTGGGTGACCTTTTGTACAAAGAGGGTGAGTCTGTTTACAGTTGAAGAAAGGGGCGCCTTGGAGAGTGAAAAGGTGCTAAAATTACTAAAATCAGACAGGTTTTTTGTTTTGTTTTGTTTAATCCTTACCTGACGATATTTTTCCATTGTTTTCTATAGAGAGTGGAAAGGAGGGGGAGAGACAGAGAGAGAGAAACATCAGTGTGGGAGAGACACATCGATTGGTTGCCTCATGCAGGCTCCCCAGTCAGAGCCAGCAATTGAGCCTGCAGCCCAGATAACATGCCCTTGGTTGGAATCGAACCTGGGACTTCAGTCCGCAGGCCGATGCTCTACCCACTGAGCCAAACCTATGGCCATAGACTTTTTAGAAAGAATTTTTACTAACTACCAGTTAGCTTTAGTATATTGTTAACTATAATAAGTTTTTTTTAAGTTAAAATTCTAAGAATAATACTGTGTTAAAAATACACAATCCAGAGCAGATGTTACACTGCACAGATTGCTGGGTCAGCAGGGAGAAACCAGGACTGCGCAGGACTGACTGGGCCTGTGGCTGCCCTCGTTCTAGAGAAGCGAGAAATCTAACACTTAAATGTTCTCCCTTGACACTGCCCAGGATGCTGACGGAGATGGTCACCGGATTTGCCTCACGGCCATGCTTAAATCGCAGTGTTTATTAAACAAGGCTTTTTGGAGGTCTTACTAATCCAGTCATTTCAACCTGGCGTGAGTCGCTGCCTCCGTTTAGCGAGGCCTCTTTGGGCTCCTGCAGTTCTGGTGTCACCCAGGAAGGGGAGCTCCACTTGAGGCCCAGCATCTGGCCGGAAATGCCCTGTGGGTGATGATCTTGTTGGAGGTGTTGCTGAGAGGAAGGAGGGGCTTGGGGACAGGGAGGTAGAAGGGGGCAGGGTAGGAGAGGGGAAGTGGCCATGAGGTTTTCTCAAACATGAGGAGCCACAGGCAAAGTGGGGGCGACAGTAGAAATGCTCCCGGAATGTGTGGGTCGGGATGAAAATCACCACAGAAAAGATGAAAGGCAGCAGGAATTATTTATTTCTTTTGAGCTTGAAAAATAGGTGGAAACAATGGTCCAAAACTGACACTTCATTATTCTTTCCATGACTTCAGTGTAGACCATGCCTATGGCGTCTTAGCACAGGATGCAGGCCTGTCTTGCCCAGGGGGTGAGTTCGTCTATTCCAAACAGAGAAGCCATCTGCCCCTAAAGGATTAACAGCCGATGTCAGCATGAAGCAAGATGCGTGTCCCAGGAGGGGGGCCCCCTGCTGAGCTGCCCCAACCCGGGCCTGTCCAGGGAGCGTTTGCTGCCGGTCCGGGCTGAGGACTCCCAGCGGATGCAGTGACCTTCTTCCTTATCTTCCTCTGCAGTTCTTACTCCATCTTAAATGCATCGTCTTCCAACGCGCTCCCATTCGGTGACGGCATATTGGACAGGCGGTCGTACGAGGACCAGGGCCTGGGGGAGATGGCGCCCCTCACCATCGTCTGCCAGCCCTCACAGGTGAGGCTGCCACCAGGGCACGCCCTCAGCGGCACTCCAGGTCCCCTGAGCACCTGTTACCGAGGCTGAGGCCGCTGACATACATACACACCGGAGACGAGAAGAGCCAGACAGGGTCCTGACGGACCACCAGCATCTGGTCTCGGCTGTCAGGAGGCTCTTCGCAGAGGGGAGCACTTCAGCACGGGCAGCAGCAATCGCTGTATCTGTGTCGTAGGCCGTGGTGAGGATGAGAGGAAACAGGGTGGGGAGTCGGTGAAGAGCAGTTAGAGGTGCAAATTCCTGTTATAAAATAGATAAGTTATGGAGATATAATAGGAAGCACAGAGAATATAGTGATTAATATCATAACTCTGTATGGTGACAGATGGTTACTTATACACCATAAGGTATATAAGTGTCAAATCGCTATGTTGTACACCTGAAACTAATACACTATTGTATGTCAATTATACTTTAATGAAAAATATTAAAGGCAAGAAGAAGGCTGTTAGCACAGTACCTGGTGCACAGTGAGTGTTCAGTGTACATTGGAGTGCTTGGTATATGTCAGAAAGTTTGCAGAATGAAGAGTTGGGAGAGTAGTTTGAACAATACAAAGGCAAGTCGAAAGTTCAAACATGTAGAGGATCAAGAGACTAGATCACTTTGGCTAGAGCCCAGGGCTTGAATTAGAAAACAGGAAGGGAAGATATGGGGAAGGCATGCCACCCCCACTTATTAACTTCCTCCTTGGGAACCAAGGTAAATGCTGGCCAGCGTGACGCCTGTAGCCCTAGGGAAACAGGGAATCGCTCAGAAAGAAGGCATGAAGGGACATCTACCATGACCCACCCGGCAGTTGTAGAAACCAACGTCATCTGGACATGCCTTTGACCAGACCCTGTTTCATCGCCTAATGTAGAACCATTTCCGGGAGCACCAACATGTATGAGTTGGACAATAGAGCCTAAACATGGTTAGAGCAGGAAGGCAGGCCCTCACTGTTGGAGGAGACCACTGGGCCATGTAGTCTGACACCAGGCACAGAGAGGTGAGGCGGACGTGTTTGTGGCAATGAGCGTCCTCACTCCCTGAGGGAGCTGAAGAGGCCTTTGCAGCGGGGAGGACGCCGTCCCAACAGTGGCTTTCTCTGCGTGCCAGCTAGTTTCACCTCAGCAGGTACTGCTCCTACTGACCATAGCAGTCGCACTGATAAGGCCATTTTCTAACCCTTCTGATTTCGCAAAGCACCTGCAGTTCATCGCATTTGAGCCTCAGAATAACCTGTGAGGTCTGCAGGAGGACAGGCCAAGTCATACATTCGCAGAACCCGCTCTGGAGCTCAGCTGGCCTGTGCCTGGCCCGGGCCTGTCCACTGTCTTCTCTCCACTAACAGCTGTTCCTCACCTGCAGCCTCTGAGGGCAGGCAGCCAGCTTGGCCCCCAGAAGAGATGCCTCTTTGTGTGTCGGCACGGCGAGAGGATGGACGTCGTCTTTGGGAAGTACTGGCTGTCCCAGTGCTTTGATGCCAAAGGTGAGGAGCTGTTTGTCCTCTTCAGCATTGCTATGCCTATCGTGGCCTCTAGAGGGCACAGTCAAGCTACCTTTATCTAGATCAGCGGTTCTCAACCTGTGGGTCGCAACCTCTTTGGAGGTCGAACGACCCTTTCACAGGGGTCACCTAAGACCATCGGAAAACACATATATAATTACATATTGTTTTTGTGATTAATCACTATGCTTTAATTATGTTCAATTTGTAACAATGAAATTGGGGGTCACCACAACATGAGGAACTGCATTAAAGGGTCGCGGCGTTAGGAAGGTTGAGAACCACTGATCTAGATGTAGTGCTCGTTTCTGGCTAAGTGGGCTGTAGAAAAGCCTGCAGTGTGTTTCATTCATAGCCCTTCCTTGGTTGTCTTGAGTGTTAGGGGACAGGTAAGTGTTCTTGTCTCCAGCCTGTAAACTGGGACACCAGGGCCAAAGGCAAATGTTATGCCCACGGTCACATGGCCAAGTCAGAGGCAGGAAGGGGCATCCCGATTCCATGGCCGGAGGCCCCCCTCAATTCGCCGACTCACCCTGGTTCCATGTTCCTTGGAGTGGCCTGTTTCGCATGGGGAGGTTTACAGTTCAGGTCAGCCCCTGCTGAAGGGTGTCTGGTGACGACTTTCACTTCTTGTCACCTTTGTCAGCAGAATAGAGGAGTGGATTCCCAGACATTCTCACAAAGGAAAAGTGTCGGCCTTGATATTTTCTAGAAAGCTCCATGTAGTCTCTTTGGCCAAAAAAGGAATGGAAATAGAGAGGCTGTCAGGATCAGCAATGAAAACCCTAAGGAAACAAGAAACTCACGTAGCCCTGTACGGCTTTTTTCTAGGCCGCTACATTCGCACGAACCTGAACATGCCTCAGAGCTTACCTCAGCGGAGCGGCGGCTTCCGGGATTACGAGAAAGATGCTCCAATCACTGTGTTTGGGTGTATGCAAGCAAGACTAGTGGGTGAGTGTCCTGGAGTAATTGCACAGCTGGCTTGGCCACATGTTCAGGATTCTGGTTCCAGTGGGCATGCCAGGACACTTCCTGGGAGATTCTATAACTTTTCTACAGATAGTAAATTTCCTCAAGGAATTTCTTCTTTTTTAAAATATATTTTTATTGATTTCAGAGAGGAAAGGAGAGGGAGAGAGAGATAGAGACGTCAATAATGAGAGAGACTCATTGATCGGCTGCCGCCTGCATGGCCGCCCCCACTGTGGATCGAGCCCACAACCCAGGCTTGTGTCCTTGACCAGAATCAAACCTGGGACCCTTCAGTCTGCTCTATCCACTGAACCTCACCAGCCAGCGCTCCTCAAGGAATTTCTTATGTAACCATTAAATTTAGGACACTGCACTGGCACCGGGCACTTTACCGAAGTGAACAAGGTGTGATTCCTATTGAGGGTGTATGGACCAGTGACGGGCAAGGTCATGCCTGGTGTGGCAGAGAGGCCAGCTGCTAGCACACGGGTGAGGAGCAGGGAGCCTCGGGGGAGGGGGGCTGGAAGCTCAGCGGCCAGCTGTCCTTTGAAGATGCTCAGTTCCTGGCAGAGAGCCTGCCACACGGAGACAGCAGCCTTGTCCGACCCAGTGACCTCACTGTGCTGATGCTCACTCTTTGTGCAAGGCAGTGCCAGGTGCTGAGGACCCAAGCAGGAGTCCCCACCCTCAGGGAAACACCTGTAAGTACATAAATGCCTTGCAATGTAGCACCCAAAAATAAAACGGTGTGCACAGAATTATGGGAGCTCGGGGAGGCGGGGGACCCAAGATGGCAGTGGAGTAGGTGCAAGTTACACTCACCTCCTCCCAGGATCAAACTGGAATCACAACTAAATTGTAGAACAATAAACCTGAATGACCAACTGAAGACAAGTTGAACAGAAGTCTTCTAACCAAGGACTTACAGAAGAAGCCGCACTGACACGGTAGGAAGGGCAGAGACAGGCCAAGGGCTGGCCCTGCTCCCAGAGGGCGGCTATCCCAGCTGCACAGGTCGCCAGGCTCCCCAGCCCAGAGCAGCAGAGCCTGGAAGAGGAGCCCACATAATACCTGGCTGTAAAAATCAGCACGGGTTCTGTCTGCTAAGAAGAGGCAGGAGTCTCCTAAGAAACCCAGGTGCCCTCTTAAAGGGCCAAACACACAAAATATCATTTGCAGCCAGTTACCCTGGGCTCCCACAGAAGAAGGCTTGGAGCAAATATGGAATCATGTGTGGCTGCCAAGAGAGAGCTGAAGGGACAGCTACCAGGGCCCATGTGCTGAGTCCCTCTCCAACACTGCGCACAAATACCATCATTCCTGGATTGATGCTCTCCATAGAGCATCGCCCTGGGAATGCAATAGTCCCACCCTCCCGACTCCCCGTTGCCTGGCCCTACCAAGCTCAGGCCAGCCGAGGCCTCAGTGCACACTCCGTGGACGGCTCTGAGGGTCTGCACAGCTCGGGGGGAGACTGAGGCGTGTGGCTCTATGGCATGGGCCATTTTTCCCTCACACACACCCTGGCACCACCGTTCCTGTGCAGGGCCTCCCTTCACATGGCCAAATCCTGGTTTCTTTGGGCCTGAGGAACTCTGCTGGCCTCACCCTCCATCCCTGAGAATACACCCCCAAAAAGGTCAGCAAGCACACAGCAGGTGGCAGCTAGCTTTGGTGAACCCTCAAACTTTTGCTTCTGGCGCAGCACTAATGTGCACTTGAACCTGTATCAGCCTGATGAGCAGCTCTTGCATTGACCTGTTGACTCACTGAGAACCTACCTCACGCAAATCTCGTATCACCGGAAACTTGTTCAGTTCCTGAGCCTAACAGCAAGCAGCAGGCTAAGGCAGGTGGAGGAAAGTCTTGGGGTGCCTTGGGCCTTTGACTAACCTGTCCGCAGGGCTTGGCAGGAGCCGGCCTTGGGGCACAGCTTTGCTGGTTCCACACTCACCCAGGCACAATAGAGACAACCACAAAACATGGATTGCTTTGCAGCTCCTAACAGGCAGCCCAGGGCCAGTCACAGGCAGCTTCTGACATTGACCTGCACTGGAGACTCTCCCAAGAGGCCCCAGAACCAACACACCCTGCGGGATTCAGACCATGTCAAAGCACGACCCAATTAGCTCCACAAGCCACACACCCAAAGGGAGATCTCAGCAGGCACCAGACCCCATGGAGGCAAATCCCGCTTCAAGTGGTCAGCCTCCACGCAGCAGTTAGCACAGTGTGGTTGGGGTCAGTTCTCACAGGCAGCCACCCTGAGGGTCAACCTCACCCACACAGGGGCCAAAAACAGTAGACTCAACTACAACAGCAGGGCTCACATAATCCACACAAGGGACATTCCTGGACTGAGCCCCATAGAACCTACTACCTAGACTGGGAGACATAGCAGATCTACCCAATACACAGAAACAAATACAGAGAGGCACTCAAAATGGGGAGACAAAGAGGCATACCCCAATTAAAGAACAGGAGAAATCCACAAGGGGAAAAAAATGAATTAGAGACAACCTACCAGAAACAGAGTTCAAAACACTGGTCATAAGGATGCTCAAGGAACTTGGGGGGGAAATGGATTAACTTAATGAGAACTATAACAAGTACATAGTAAGCATAAAAAACATGAAAAAGAACCAGTCAGAAATGAAGAATAAAATATCTGAAATGAAGAAGTGGGGATCTGCTCAGCAATTTCAAAGACAAGGTAGCAGAAAACACCCCAATGAGCGCAGCAAAATCTAAAAGGAATTTTAAAAAATGAGGATAGCTTAAGGGACTCTGGGACAACATGAAGTTTAAATCATCTGCATCATAGGGATACCATCAGGAGAAAGAGACAGCAAGCGATTGAGAACTTCCTTGAAAAATGACTGAAAATTTCCCTCACCTGGTAAAGGAAAAAGACACAAATTCAGGAAGCACAGAGAGTCCCAAACAAGATGAACCTAAAGAGGCCCACACCAAGACACATCATAATTAAAATGCCAAAGGTTGAAGAGATAATTTTAAAAGCAGCAAGAGAAAACGTTAGTTACCTACAAGGAAGCTCTCATGAGACTATGAGCTGATTTCTCAACAGAAAATTTGCACAAAGTATTCGAAGTGATAAAAGCAAGGACCTATATACAACCAAGAGTTCTCTACCTAGCAAGGCTCCCATTTAAAACTGAACAAGAAAAAAAGAGCTTCCCAGACATGAGAAGGTAACAGAGTTCATCACCACCAAACCACTATTACAAGCAATGTTAAAGGGACTTCTTTAAGAAGAAAGAAAAAACAGAGGAACATAAATATCTATCCTATATAATAAAATGGTAATATGCAAGTTGACCCTAAGGGCAGAATGACCAGTTGCTATGCCGTGCACTGACCACCAAGGGGCAGATGCTCAATGTAGAAGCTGCCCCCTGGTGGTCAGTGTGCTCCCACAGGGGGAGATCCATTCAGCCACAAGCCGGGCTGATGCTGCAAGTGCAGCGTCGCTGGCGGGAGTTGGACATCCCCCAAGGGCTCCCCGGCTGCCAGAGGGATGTTTGACTGCCAGCTTAGGCCCAGTCTCCTGTGGAACAGGCCTAAACTGGGAGGTGGACAGCTCCCGAGGGCTCCTGGACTGCGAGAGGGTGCAGGCCAGGCTGAGGGACCGCCCCCCCTCCCTGAGTGCATGAATTTTCATGCACCAGGCCTCTACTATATAATAATAAAAGCGTAATATGCTCATTAGACCAGACATTCTTCCACACGCTCAATGCAGGAGCTGCCCCCTGGTGGTCAGCGTGCTCCCACAGTGGGAGTGCCGCTCAGCTGATTGACCCATCCTGGCAGCCCACCAGCCCAGTGGCAGCCATTTACTCCCTCAGTAGTCCTGCAGGTCCAGTCTCTGGAGAACGGGCCAGGCCCCAACAGACCAGCACCACCAGACTGGCACCGCCGGACTAGTACCGCCAGCATGATCCCAACAGCACCACTGGCCTCCTGGAAGTTGGCCTTGGGCACCATGGCCGCTTCTCCTCCCTAGATGCTCTGCAAGGAAGAAACAATATAAAAGTGGCTGCCAGGTGGCTCCTGACAACTGGCACGAACATCAACGGAATGGATCTGGATCCAGGGCCAGCAAGGGCATCCCACCTACTGCCAGGATGGCCAATCCCCTCCCAGGCCCCGGGCCCCAGCCCCCTCAAGACGGGCACCAGATGCAGGGCTCATGACTGGCTGGCGAGTGCTGCTGCAGCGGTGCAAGCCTCTCCCAATCAAGACTGACTGGGTGTGAGCCCCTGGCAGGCAGGAGCGGCAGGTGGCGTTGGACAGCCGGTTTTGGCCCAATCCCTGTGGGCCATGCCAAGGGACCCCACCAGTGTGCGAGTTCGTGCACTGGGCCTCTAGTGAATAATAAAATGGCAATAAATACATACCTATCAACAATCACTTAAAATGTAAATAGATTTAATGCTTCAATCAAAAGATACAGGGCAGCTGAATGGATAAGAAAACAAGCTATGTATATGCTGTCCATAAGAGACCCACTTCAGACTGAAAATAAATTTGGCAAAATAGCAGGATTCAAAATCAATATTCAGAACTCGGTTTCATTTTTATAAACTAATAATAAACTCTCAGAAAGGAAAACTAAGATAATAATCGCATTTACAATGGCTCATACAAACAAACTACCTAGGAATAAATTTAACCAAGGAGCTGAAAGACTTATACTTAAAATTTTATAAGACTGAGGAAAGAAATTGAAGAAGATATAAGTGGAAGTATATACCATGCTCATGGATAGGAAAATTAACATAATTTAAATGTCCTCGCTACCCAGAGCAATCTATAGATTCAATGCAATTTCTATCAAAATATCAGTGGCATTTTTCCCAGAACTAGAACAAATAACCAAAAAAATTATGTGGAACCACAGAAGACCCCAACCAGCCACAGCAATCTTGAGAAAGAGGAACAAACTTGGAGGTATCACACTACATACTACCAGTCTATAGTAATCAAAACAGCATAGTATTGGCATAAAGACAGACATATATATAGATCAATGAACCACAGAGAATGCAGAACCCAGAAATAAACCCATACCTGTGTGGTCAATTAATATTTGACAAAGGAGGCTAGAACATGCAAATGAGTTAAGACAGTCAATAAGTGGCTTTGGGAAAATTGGACAGATACATAAAAAATAAAATGAAACTAGACCGTCTTCTTACCCCATATGCAAGAATAAACTCAAATGGATTAAAGACTTAAGCCTGGCTACCATAAAAGTTTTAGAAGAACTACCGTAAAGGGAAATATCAGAAAGGGAAACTAAGGAAGTAGAATCTCTGATATTTCTCTTAGCAATATATTTTTCTGATATGTCTCCTTGGGCAAGAGAAGCAAAAGAAAAAAATAAACAAATGGTACTACATCAAACCAAAAAGTTTTCGCACAGCAAAGGAAACCACCAGCAAAACAAAAAGACAACTGCTCTAACCGTTTTTGGCTCAGTGGATAGAGCATCAGCCTGCAGACTGAAGAGTCCCAGGTTCAATTCCAGTCAAGGGTATGTACCTGGGTTGCAGGCACATCCCCAGTGAGGGGTGTGCAGGAGGCAGCTGATCGATGTTTCTCTCTCATCATCAATGTTTCTAACTCTCTATCCCTCTCCCCTCCTCTCTGTAAAAAACCAATAAAATATATTTAAAACAAAACAAACAAACAGACAAACAAAAACACAAAAAGACAACCTACTTAATGGGAAAAGATATTTGCCAGTGATGCATCAGGTAAGGGGTTAATATACCAAAATTTATAAAGAATTCATACAACTCAACACTGAAAAAGAAAACCTGATTAAAAAATGGGCAGAGGATGCCCTGACCTGGTTGTTCAGTTGGTTGGAGTGTTATCCCAGACTCCATAGGGTTGCAGGTTTGATCCCTCGTCTGGTCTTGTATGGGTCGCAACCAATTGATGTTTCTCTCTCACATTGATGTTTCCCTCTTTCTCTCTCTTCCTCTCTCTCTAAAATCAATAAAAACATATCCTCAGGTGAGGATAAAAAAATAAATAATGGCCTGGAACCTGAATAGACACTTCTAAAAAGAGGACATGCAGATGCCCAATAGACATATGAAAAGATGCTCAATGTCACTCATCAGAGAAATGCAAATTAAAGCCAAAATGGCTGTCATCAATAAATCAACAAACAACAAGAGTTGGTGAGGATGTGGAGAAAAGGGAACCCTCATGCACTGTTGGTGGGAATGAGGATTGGTGCAGCCACTATGGAAAACAGTATGAAGTTACCTCAAAAAATTAAAAATGAAACTGCTCTATGACCTAACAATTCCACTTCTGGGCATATATCCAAAAAAAACACACCAAAAAACACCAAAACCCCAAAACACTAATTTAAAAGAATATAAACACCACTGTGTTCATTGCAGCATTATTTACAATAGCCAAGATATGGAAGCAACCCAGCATCCATCAAAGGACAAGTGGCTAAAGAAGAGCTGGTGCATATATAAAATGGAATATGACTCAGCCATAAAGAAAAAAAAGGAATCTCACCATTTGGACCTAGAGGGTATTATGCTAAGTGAAAAAGTCAGTCAGAAAAAGACAAATACAGAACAGGGTAAATGAACAAGCAACATAGAAACAGATTCATAGATACGGAGAGCAGATTGCTAGTTGTCAGGGAAGAGGTAGGCTGAGAGGACTGAGTAGAAAGGTGAAGGATGTGGGGTTAGCCGTGACCAGCATGGCTAGAGAGTGAGTGAGGCCTGAGTAGGGGTGACTGGGGATTGAGAAAAAGAGAGAGACAGACACAGAGACAGTAAGTAAAGCTGGGACCAGGTGGGACGCTGTTCTCCCATAGAGAGACAGTGGCTCAGAGCTAGTGCAGCGCAGTTATTATATACAGCTTGATACCAGGAAGTTTTACTAGAGTTTAAGACAAAGGAAATTATGTGAAATCATGCTCTAAAGCTCAGGCTGCATTCTTCATTCTTGTGGCTTCTCATAATTGTCAGGCCTGGCTGGACCCAGATAATTGCATCTGCCTCGGCGCCTGAGTGAACCAGATAATGGCACCCACCCCCTGGTGCCCGAGCTAAAGGCCAGGACTGACAACATGCCTGCCTTTGGCGAGGTATGTTTCCAGGACACGGCGCTGCCGTCGCTGCTGGATTCAGCTGACAGCCTTTGCTCAGGCGCTCTCCCAGGCACTCTCTACCGGAGGGATTAAGAAGTACAAATTGGTAGTTACAGAGCAGTTGTGAGGATGTGAAGTACTGCACAGGGAATACGGTCAATAATCTATAAAAAAGCCTAAGTGACCATCCGATCGGTCGCTATGATGCGAAGTGACCACCAGGGGGCAGGCACTCAACACAGGAACTGCCAAGCTGCGGTGACTTGGCAGCGGTGGTTCTCGGGTGACGCATCGGAACCAGAGAGGAAGGAGTCCGATTCCAGGGTGCATCACCCAAGAACCGCCCTCTTGCACTCCAGGACCCCTTGGGGGATGTCAGAGAGCTGGATTTGGCCCGATCCCCACAGGCCAGGCTGAGGGACCCCACTTTCCAGAGGGGCCCCGCTCACTCCGCAGATGCCCTTTGAGCCCCATGTCTCCCCAGGTGCGGCTGGCCGGAGAGGGACTGCGGGAGGTTGGCTCCAGGGCATGCCCAGCCCTCTCGCCCAGTCCTGCCCTGCTGGCCACCTTCTATTTAATCTCCTTTCAATGTGCACGTGTCTGTGCACTGGGCCTCTAGTATTGTAATAACTGTGCATGGTGCTGGGTGGGTACAGGAAATGTCAGGAGGGGCGTCTTGCAAATATGACTGTAACCACTGTGCTGTACACCTGAAACTAATACAAAATAACACTGAATGGAAACTGTCCTTGAAAAACAAAATTTAAAAAGACTACATTGATTTCAACCTTCTAATCAAAAGGAAAAGAATTATGAGGGCAGAAAGGGGGGAAGAGAGGTAAGCTGCGATCTGAGTCAAAGCCAGCTGGATAGAGAAGGAGAAGGAGGGAGGGAAGGGCATCCCCGGGGGAAGAGCACAGGAAGTCAGAGACACGAGCAGCAGCACGGAGTGTGGGGGGATGGGCTGTCTGGGTTCTGGAGCGTAGATTGTGGGCAGGGCAGCAGAGGAGGGGGCTGGATGACGAATAAAGACCAGTCCGGGGAAGACCTTGCCCACGGTGAGGGGGTTTGGACTTTATCCAGTGGAGGGAAGCAGCGGGTTCCAGGAGACAGTGTTGAAGTATTGGGTGTTGAGATTTACCTCCAGTGTCCAAGAATATGGCCAAGAATATCTTTAGCATAAAATTAAATCAAGACCCGATTTTGAGAATATAAACCCTCCTACTTTTAAGACAAACTTGAAATCAGAGCATTATCATGCTTCTAGATCTTCTAGATCAGGGGTCCTCAAACTTTTTAAACTTTTTCACTGTCCCTCAGACCGTTGGAGGGCCGGACTATACTTTAAAAAAAAACTATGAACAAATTCCTATGCACACTGCACATATCTTATTTTGAAGTAAAAAAAACAAAACGGGAACAAATACAATATTTGTATTTGCATGTGGCCTGCAGGCCGTAGTTTGAGGACCCCTGTCCTAGATGGATACTTTGTCACTTGGTAGCACAAGAGAGAAGGAAAGAAAAAGACGAAAAGGAGTCTTTTGGCTTCTTTGCCTAGAAATAAATCTCTCTCTAGCAAAGGATTTGTTGGAAACAAACAAAATAAAAAGGCAGAAACTGCTGGCTGAAAGTAATCCCTCCCAGAAAAGGCGAGGTCAGCAGGCCCCCTGCCCCTTGCCCACTTGGAGGCCGAGTCCATCAGATTGATTCTCCTTTGGTTTTCTTTGCAGGCGAAGCCTTATTGGAAAGTAATACCACAATTGACCATGTCTATTGCTCCCCATCCCTGCGCTGCGTTCAGACTGCACACAACATCTTGAAAGGTAAGGCTTGGTAAAGGTCAACCAGTCCATCCCTCTGTCTCCAGGCAGATTCCCAGACTCATGGGATATTAGCCACGTCAAAGCTTCAAATCTGGAATTTTTAGCGATGATTCTTTTGGAAGATGTCTCTATAAAAGTCCCTAAGCCATATGCTGCCAGCATAAAGTGTGATGAAAGGATGTATACAAGTAATTTTTTTGAAAATGCTTTTCTTGGGTGCACGGCAGGCATGTAAAGTATTGTCGTCTGGCAGTTGCTTAGAGCCTGCAGTGCTCTGAACAGGCCACTCCCCCACGGAGCTATTCCGCCTGCTCCTGCAAACCTCAGGCATCTGGCTTCTTCACTGGCACGTGAAAGCACCATTGCTATGCAGGTGCTCAGCGTTCACCCTGAAATCCTAGGAGCTTGAGTTCCCGGGATCGCCATTCTCATTTCACTGGAAAGAAAACTAGAAGAAACCACGTGGGGCTGTTTACTTACACCAAACAAAGGAACGCGCCAGAAATAGCTGCACCTACAAGTAATTTACACTGTATTAGACTCCTACTCATTAGTCTTAAGTAAACCACACTTGGCTTAAGGCGATATAAAGAGAGTTAATAGGGGCCAGTTCCCACTCTGAGGGTAATTACACAGCAATAAAACACGAACTTGTGTGCTGGCATTGTAAATATTCAACATTGGATACTCTGATAGAGAAAGTGAATTTACGTGATATTCAAATAAAGTGAAAGCTACTGTAGGCTAGTGGATGCTAAGAGAATCTCTGAAGTTTCTTCATAAGACAGTCTGGGCACTTACTTATGAAAATGAATCGCAGTCACAGAACTGTGTAAGTTATGGGGATAATGACGTGTTTTTTTTCTAAACCACACGCCACTTCAAACTAGCGTACGTCCATTCTGGTGGCGAGGCCCAGTATTCAACTCATACATTTGTAACTCCAAAAACTAAACACCCGGTCCAAACCCCCATGCTTCCACTTTATTTTGCTCTATGATAGTATCTGGTTGAAAAGAGAATGGAAGGCTGACCAGAATTTTTATAACAATTTGTCCTCCCTTTGCTTTTTCTCTGAGAGAATAGTGGCATTTCCTTCACCTTCATTTTATTTTGCCTCAAGGTTTACAACAAGAAAATCACTTGAAGATCCGTGTGGAGCCTGGCTTATTTGAGTGGACAAAATGGGTCGCTGGGAACACATTACCTGCCTGGATACCTCCGTCAGAGCTGGCAGCAGCCAACCTGAGTGTTGATACAACCTACAGGTAACCCCGACGCTGCTGCTTCCTGAGCCCAACGTGCAAGTCCTTTCTACAGCAGCCGGCTCCTTAGGGAGATGAAGGACCGGACAGAGCCCACGGGCAGTGGTCCACGTTGCTGGCGGCCAGGCTGTGATATCAAACACCCAAACTGGAAGAAGCCAGAACCCTCCTGTATTTAGCTTCCTTTAGATTATATCCCCCATGCACAGTGGATTTTCCTGACTGTGTTCTACCTCTTTCAGGAAATAATAAAACCACTTTGTGCCCCAGGGCCAGGCACCAGCCAATGAGGAGACAGTTCCAGAAGCTTGTTGGGAGATAAGGGAAGTGACCATGTCTTAAATTGTCATATTTAATTTTTCAAAACATTTTTTATTGATTTGAGAGAGAGGAAGAGAAACATCGATGTGAGAAAAACATCGATCAGTTGCCTCCCGCAAACACCCTGACCAGGAATAGAACCCGCCACCTTTTGGTGTGCCAGACAACCAACTGGGCCACACCGGCCAGGGCTCAAAGCGTTTTTAATTCTCTTTATCATTTATTATTGCCATCATCCCAGAATATAGACAGGCCACTTTTATATATAAGAGAATGCAGTGGCTTTGCCTAAAGTTGTATGTCTAGTGGACACGTATCAGTAATAATCACAACAACTAGCCTTTATTGATCATTCTCTGCATGGGAAGGACTGTGTAAGCTCCTTTACAGTCTTCTTGTCCTCAGGCCTTGGCTTTTCTACATTTAACCCAGTGGTTCTCAACCTTCTGGCCCTTTAAATACAGTTCCTCATGTTGTGACCCAACCATAAAATTATTTTTGTTGCTACTTCATAACTTTAATGTTGCTACTGTTATGAATCGTAATGTAAATATCTGATATGCAGGATGGTCTTAGGCGACCCCTGTGAAAGGGTCATTCGACCGCCAAAGGGGTTGCTACCCACAGGTTGAGAACCGCTGATTTAACCAGACTGTGCTGAGGTTAAAAAGAAGTGTTTGTACATTGATCACAAGTGAATAACCCAGATGTAAACAATTCAGAATTAACCAATAATGGTATAGTTACATTAACTCTCAGAAATTCACTCAGACATTTGCAAAATGTCTTTGAGGAAGGACACATACATAGTCACAACTGTTATGGTGGGAAATTAAGTTCATATTTCTTAGGGCAGAATTTAGAACAAGTGACCAATATAAGCAGAGATTTCTTCCCTGTGATATCCTTTGACCTTGCATTTCGAATACCTACCCAAACCACAAAGTAAGCCATATGAGTTTCTGGCTAAGGTAGGATAAAACATCTTTTTTCCCCATGCTCATGTTCCTGCTCTGCAAATAAGATATCATAGAACCCCATAAATAATTAATGTGCCTACTTCTTGCTTAGAGGAATTCGCATTCCTTAAAAATCAAATCAAATCGCCGAAACCGGTTTGGCTCAGTGGATGGAGCATCGGCCTGCGGACTGAAGGGTCCCAGGTTCGATTCCGGTCAAGGGCATGTGCCTTGGTTGCGGGCATATCCCCAGTGGGAGATGTGCAGGAGGCAGCTGATCGATGTTTCTCTCTCATCGATGTTTCTAACTCTCTATCTCTCTCCCTTCCTCTCTGTAAAAAATCAATAAAATATATTTAAAAAAAAATAGAAAAAAAAATCAAATCAAATCAATCAGATCCCTTACTAATATCCTTCACATTTTGTCCTGTCCACACTATGGCCACTGGTTTTTTATTCTTTGAGGAAAACAGCAACAAGCTGTTGTCTCATGCCAACAGTCATCATCTTTCTGGCCCGGAAGGAGGGTGAATTGCTGCCAACGTTGGTAAAACGATTTCCCCGCTCACCACCCAGCGCCTCTCAGGTCCACTTAGGTCACCTCTGTTCTCAGCTTTCCCCTTAAGTGAGTCCTGCAGTTCTTCCCAAGCTGCTTTACCGATATCGCCGGGATCACTCTATCTGCGAGCCTGAATGCATGCAGACACCCCCAGGCACACAGACCTCACATCCCATTAGTAGTACAAGTCGAATGATGAACGCCAGGAACCCGGGAGTCAGAACAGGGTCTCTATTCCAGATTTTCTCTTCCTCTACAGAAAAGGAAAATTCAATCATTTTGTGTTTAAGAGGGGAAAAAGGTTCAGCCTCTAATTTTATAAATCAAGTGTGAAAGTCAATAATTTATCACATGCTTTAGCATGTGAGAGTTACCACCTCGGGTTAAATTTTCTCTGAAATTAGTTATGCAAAGGATTGGGCCTTTAGAAGCAAGCAGTGGTACAGGTGATTGAAGAAACATAGTGATAGGCAAGGACTGACAGGGTGTTATAGGTAAAGCAGGCACTGTTTGAAGAGCCCTGTCACCTTAGAGCAGGATGAGGCAGGGCTGGGAGGCAGGTTAAGGGAAACTAACCAGGCTGGCGACTGATCTCCCAGTCACATCACCTCCAGGCAGCAGACCTCACCTGGGCGTGGGGGCAGAAAGCATCTCGTCTTAGGGAGCTGGACGCAGAGGAGCAAGGCAGACAAGATATATACAACAGTTGGATGGAGCTTCAAAATAAGGTCTTGACTGGGTGTGTTAGGAAATAGTGGGGGTGGGGGGGAGCCATGGATCCAGAGTGTTATAGGGGCGATGACTCAAACTTTGTTGTGGGGCTCAAGGCAGAAGCCTCGCCCAAGCAAGGTGAGGAGGCGAGCTTTCATGGAGAGAATCATGCTCCAGGGATGGTGCCTGAGCACCCAAAGCTCCGGGTTCCAGTTCTAGTTGGTGGTTGGCGGCCACCTGACACTGAGTATATGTGTCCTGAAGGTGTGGCTAGAGCATGGCACATGCTGCTGACAGGGTGGGAAATCTTTGACTCTGTCCCATGCCCATCAGGACTGGTGGCTCCAACATGGAGGCCCTTCATAGGTTCGACTTCAGGTCAAGAAATGCCAAAGGCAAGAGCTGGCCAGGAGGAACTGGATCCCAGCAGCCACTTGCTCTTTACTTACAATGTGGTTTCACTCTTTACATGACTGTCTGGACCGTACAAAGAGGCCTTTTCTCCTGGGGGAAGGGAAGTACAAGACCAGGACTGGATGAGCGGTTGGGGTGGTGAGAAAGTTTGCTCCAGAGCAGTGAGGTGCACCCTAATGAGTGGTCACCATGTCTCTCCCCAGCCCTCAGGGTGTTTTGAGATTCAGAGGCTATTTCCTAGAAGTATGAGGTCAGGTTCTTTCAAATGGAACAACAGTGTTTCTCTCTGGACAGTAAACCCAAGTGCACAGAGGAGCAGCCTTGAGGAGGACACCATCAAAAATTTACATGGTCCAGAGTGGTGGACAAGTTCTCAGGCTTTGATCTCAGGCCCCCGTTCAAATCTAAGCTCTGAAGAGTTGCTAATGGCATAAACATAGGCAAGTCATCTGCAGCCTTTCTGAGGCTCAAAAAATAGAACTAAAGATTAGTATTCCTGATGAATATAGATTTAAAAATTCTGAACAAAATATTAACAAACCAAATTCAACAGCATATTAAAAGAATCCTACATCACCACCAAGTGAGATTTATCCCTGTGAGGCAAGGGTGGTTCAGAACACAAGCTCAATTAACATGATACACAGACACCCCTTTAGTTGGGTAAAAGATAAGTGTGATTTTATCATCTCAATAGATTCAGGGGGGAAAATTAGACAAAATACACCATCTTTTCATGATAAAAATGCTCAACAAATTTGGTATAAAAGAAACGTAACAGTATAAAGGCCACATATGACAAGCCCACAGCTGACATCAGACCCAATGGTGAGAGGTTGAAAGCTTTTTTTCCAATATTAAGAACAAGATAAGGATGCCAACTTTCCCCACTATGATTATAATACTGGAAGTCCTAGCCAGAGAAATCAGGCAAGAAAAAGAAATAAAAGTCATCCCAATTGAAAAGGAAGAAGAAAAGTTGTCTCTGTTAGAAAATGATAGGATATATTGAAAATCCTAGAGATCCTCATAAAGCTGTCAGAACCAATCAACAAATTCAGGAAAGTTGCAGGATACAAAATCAACTTACAGAAATCAATTTTTTTATACACTAACAGACACATCTGAAAATAAAATAAAATAGGCCCATCACAATAGCATCAACAATATAATACTTAGGAATTAATTTAACCAATGAGGTAAAATATCTGTACACTGGAAACGGCAAGACTTTGATGAAAGAAACTGAAGACACAAATATACCCCATGCTCATCAATTGAAAGAGTTAATCTTGTTAAACTCTCCATACCACCCAAAGGCATCTATAGATTAAATGCAATCCCTATCAAAATTCCAATGATGTTTTTCACACAAATACTGTATAGAGAGAGCCCTAAAGATTTCATCACAAAAAAAAATCCTAAAATGCATATGGAATCACAAAAGGAGCATCACACTTCTGATTTCAAAGTATACTACAAAGGTATCCTAATAAAAACAGTATACTACTGGCATAAAAACAGACACATAACCCCATGGGACAGACCTCAAAGCCCAGATAGGGAGAGATAGGTTTTTATTAATTCTTGCTGGCTGCAAGCCACTCTGCTGATGTAAGGGTCCCGTCCGTCCTTTGTTCCTCCTAGCACAGTGGTTCTCAACCTTCCTGATGCTGCGACCCTTTAATACAGTTCCTCATGTTGTGGTGACCCCCAACCATGAAATTATTTTCGTTGCTACTTCATAACTGTAATGTTGCTACTGTTATGAATTGTAATGTAAATATCTGATATGCAGGATGTATTTTCATTGTTACAAATTGAACATAATTAAAGCATAGTGATTAATCACAAAAACAATATATAATTATGTATGTGTTTTCTGATGGTCTTAGCCAACCCCTGTGAAAGGGTCATTTGACCCCCAAAGGGGTCGCGACCCACAGGTTGAGAACCACTGGTCTAGGGCCAGTAGGGGGACCATTTTAGGGATATGAGAGATCTGCGCGGTTCAGAAGCACTATGACGTAAACAGATGT